CATCCATCCATCCATCCATCCATCCATCCATCCATCCATCCATCCATCCATCCATCCATCCATCCATCCATCCATCCATCCATCCATCCATCCATGATTACTGAGATGCATCAGAACAAGATGTAACTTGTTAAATTGTGAGCTTAAAGCTGTTTGATGGATCTATTTGAACCATCTTCCTTGGATTTTGTTTTAATGCATAGTTGGCTGTACTGAAAGCACATTTTTAGTGTACAAGCACAACAGTAGCATTAATCACTTCATCTGCCACGTGTTGGGAAAAAAGAGAACGCTATTCAAATCCTTTTAAAAATCTTTGAAGCTTTTTCTTAGAAGTACCACTGGAACATATTTCAGGTGTCACACGTTTAATGTGTTAAATCTTACATGTTCAAAGTCATAAACCTGCTGTTCAGGATCTTTTTCCAGTATGGGTCAAAGAGTCCGACATTTTAATTGACGTTTAGAGGAATCACTGACTCGCTGCTTAGATTTTGACTCAGTCTAACTTGCATCAGCCACTAAACAGCTGGGATATTTCTGACCCAGAGAGAGAAGTCTCATTTAGAGTAATTTTCTCCACTGGTCCAGGATTTGTCCTCTGAGTAAAAGAAAACCGAGGATTGCTGTGCTCTTACTGGTATGTGGTGACCCATGGATCTTCGTGGCCATGCTTAAGCTCTAAACTCATCCATATCAAACCCACAGAAGTCTCATCAAGGCTGTGCTTGAAGATTGGTGGTTTCTCTTAGCTTACTCCCTTCCCCTCTTCCTTCCTCCAACATTTCAGARGATTAGCCCTCCTGGGTAGGCAGTTTCTTGGGGTCTACTGTCCTCCCTGATATGGTTGGGTTTAGCCCATTAGCTATGTTGAATGGCATTAATATCTGACATAGCTCATTGTAATAGTGTCATTTCCAAGTGCAGAAAGGACAAGGGCGTTTGCTGAAATGCTTTTAAATACTAGCCTAAGGCTGCAGCAGATGTCCAATAGAAGCACACCCAATATTCACACAGCATAGCTGGAAGTCTGTATTGCAATTTTGCTACAATCGACTGTAAAAGAGAGCCTAAAATATTCTAATTTTCTTTGTCTTCTCATGCTTCATTTTTTCCCTACTTGTCTTCCCTCTTGCAGTCTCGCTCAGTTTTAATCCCATTCTTTTTTACCTCCCTTCAGTTCTAATTTGTATTTTCACTTACAGCTTCTTTTCCCCCCATATTATTATACTCTGCAACACTTCTATCTTTTACAGCCTCTYCTCACTGTTTTTCTTTGCGATTTAATATGTTTGGAAAATGGAAAGTATGTGACATTGTTATTATTTCAGACAAAACTAATAGCTGAGGAGTCTCTTTGCGAGCAGCTTTAGATGCTGATGGAGAAGGTAAAAACGGCCAAGACTTAAGAGAACTGGAAATGGCTTAAATCTACTTTCTTATCCAAATTCATAATGATGACTGTTTGAAGAGCCCAAATTGACTTCACAAACATTATTGTGAGTTTATCCTGTACCTGTCACAGTGGGAGATTGGAAAGAATTGGATTAGTGTTTATGGTATGAGCCCATATTATACATTCGAACTGATTCAAAGTTAGACATGATTATTTGCACATACAAGTGTTTACCACAACCTCAGTCCTGGGCCAAGTACTCAGGACATTGAGTTGCAGTTGGCCCAGATCCATCAAAAACAGGAGCATATAACAGTGTTTTRAGAACTGAGTCACACCTCCTGGGAATGACATTGTTGAAGGAGGGGGCAGGATCCTGAASACTCAGATGTAGATATGTTATGTGCCCGATTGTGTTGCAAGGCGTGTAACTAGATAGTCCCACAGAACTTGCTGTTCTCACAACAAATTAATCATATTATACAAATAATAGCACATTGGTTATAAAATATTCTAACCATCTCAAGCATAAATTTGTATAGGTGAAATGTATTTGAAATGCCTGTGACATGCCTATCCTTCATAAAAAAGTCATCTTTATACATAATAAAATTTAAATAGTACACGTGATTTTACCTATTTTGTCACATAATCTGCCTATTTTCTTTTAAATTTGGCTCAGCCAAAGTGAAACAGGAAGTGACATCAAAGGGGAACTCATTAATAAATAAAATAAACTTGCTGGTCTCTGTTTTTAAAACAAAATTATTTAAACTTTAACTTTTCTTTGTCTCTCTTTGATAGTGACTAAAAATAATCTAAAGAAACATCAGATTCTTCTCTACAGTCTGTGTTGTTAGCTTTTGTAACAACGCTCTGTTTACATGCTGACATTCCCCTTTGACATCATTTCCTGTTTCTTCACATGCAAATATCTCAACAACTGTTCATCTCAGTGATGTGAAATTTGTTTTGCAATATTTTGTCAATGTTACCTTTCTAAAAATGCATTCATGTTTATAACAAAAATTTGATGTCACAGGCACTTTAAGACTCAGTATAAATCCATAAATTCCTTACAGATCTCTGACAGAGAATTGGAAGTGCTTTGGTAAATTTGCCCTGCTTTCTTTTGTTCAGTTTATGTTAATGAAGTTGCATGTCTGATTACATTGTAATGCTTTTGTCAGTATATTTTAAGCCTAAAATCAACTAAAATTGCAAACCTTTGCACCTCTGTTGGTGTTCTTTTTTTCTGGCCTTACAGCAGGGCTATTCAACTYGCGGCCCGCGGGCCACATCCAGCCCGCGAGAGACCAAAATTCGGCTCGCCAATTGGTTCATTCATCTCTTAAGCTCAAACCCCCWGTTTTCTACTTTAATTACTTTAAGTTCTTTTAGTTAGACATAGACATGTTTGGTATCTACAGAACCGTCAGAATCTTGGCTACAAGCTGGTAAAAACATTTCTGTGCACACTAAGGACAGTTAAAATGACAAGCAGTTGAAGATAAAACTATCAAAGTGAAAATAAAATTGGTTTAAAAATTTGGCAAGTCAGAGATGTCAAAATAATATTTGTGTCTAACAGGGGGTATAATGTGTTCTTTTTGTTTTTGATATTGTTTTTTTATCACTACTTTTATAGGGTGAAGTATATTGTAATCATGATTAAATGCAGCAAAATAAACTATTAAGGTAACAGATCTTTGTAATACTTGGTTTATTTACATAATAAACTTAATTGCTGGATGTCCAGCCCCTGAGCTGTTGACTTGCAGTAACTGTGGCCCCCGGAGCAGTTTAGTTGAATAGCCCTGACTTACAGCCTTACATTTGATTGAATTTACAGTTTGATTAAGGATAATAGGCCTACAGAAAATACTAAAGATTGTTGAGGTTAAATGAAATGAAAAATGGTTGACGCAATATAACAGTTTTTAAAACCACAAAACTGAAGAGTGCGTTCACTCCCTTTTTCTATGAAACCCCACCTTTGCCTTCAGAAGCCACATAATTAGGGCCACATTTGTCTGCATTGAGAACATAGCCGAAGTTGTGGAAAAGTACAAGTCAGGGCTCATTTAAAACAACTGCACCAAACCCTAAARATTCAATGAAGCTCCATTAAATCCATTGTTAGGAAATTAACAGATTGTCACCACCACAAACCTACTAAGTGAGGGTCGTCCATCATGACTCACAGAACAGGTAAGGAGGGCATTGCTCAGCAGTAAGTTGTAGGATTGAACAATGATAGCGTGTGGAAACAGTTTGTATTTTAACATATAAAATACAAATATTATAGAAAACTGGATTCCCAAGAAAGAAACAAAATAAACATAAMTTCCTATTCGAAGTTGATCATTTTGGGCTAAATATTCCAGCAGCCTTGATAATTTCAAAACATTCGATGTTTCTCTTTTACTCCTATAACCAGGCTGATGCAGCATCAGACAAGGAGCTGTGTGCGGCGCTGCACATCAAATTGGACAGGATGAAGGATGAGTGTGATAAGCTGGCGGCACAGCTGTACACCAAAGAAGAGGCACATTCACTTCTGCACAGAAAATACCAGCAACTTAAACAGGAACTGGAAGACAAAGTAAGCCAAGAAGCTCTTGCCATGTTTTCTTCCTGTAATGACTATCATTACCAGGCAGATTATCAGTGCAGATGTTTTGTTGTCGTTCCAAGCTGTTTATGCTGATTAGAGTTGTGACAGAGATGATTCAATGACTCTGCAAGCAAAAGAACTTAATGTCATACAATAAGATTCACGCTATTAAGTGTTTTACACACATAATGTAGTAAACAACAGCATGAACTTTATTGACTGTGCCGTTTTTAAATTGCTACTGTAAGTTTTACCATTAATGTATCTAGCAGTTAAAAATATGATCTATTTGATGATCTGTAGCCTAGCGGTATGTTTCATATGTATTTGTATTTGTAAATGCGGTACATACAGCTTTTAAAACGAGATTCCAGCAGTGTCAGTAGTAAAATTGTACAAAAACAATGGTTTTTAGACAGATGTTGCTTCTCTCCCTCCTGCTGTTGCTTTAGAATCAAAGCTATTTCAGAATCCAGTGATCATAAAAACCTAAGAATAGTTTTTAAAGTAATGTACCCATTATATTTTCTATATACATGCTCCCCTTAGGCTCCATCTTTTGTAATTTTAACATCTTTTTTCATTCCAAAGCACACGACAGTCAGATCTACTTTCATTCGAAGTGTAATCATTCCTTTTCATGAAAAAAATTGTTTGACTGCCGCACTCAGGTAAAAGCTTGGATGGCTTCAAACTCACTAAATTTCAGTAAAAATAAAACTGAAGTTATTATTTTTGGTCCCAGTGGAAGCTGCAGCGTTTCTTCTACAGATCTAGAGATAGCTTTCAGCTATTTGTAAAATCTGTAGTATCTCTATAAAAATTGAGGGTGATATTTGATTCCAGTTTTAACCTTGAGAAAAAGATTAGTTCTGGAGTAAAGAGATACTTTTTTTAAAAAATGAGGCTTTTATCTAAAGTTGTTTTTCTTTTTATCCTTTAATGACTGCACATGTGATCCAGTGTTTTATTACCTCCCATCTGGATTATTGTAACTGGTGTTAGTCGGGCCGGCTTCAAACAACTGCGCAAAAAAGCGGGAACATATCTCCCCAGTGCTGGCTTCCCTTCTTCGACTCTCTCTGTTTTAGAATTGATTTTAAAGTTTTATTGATGACCTACAAAGACCTGAATGAGACTCCTTTAGACCTGTCTGACCTTGTGCAGCTTTATGTCCCTCTAGATTCCTTAGATTGAATGATTATTTGTGTTTAGTTGTCCTTAGGTCTAGGCTGGTCCACAGAGGTGGTTGGGTCTTCAGTATGYGTGTAAATCTCCTGCTTTATCTCTAAGATATTATTTTAATTGGTTTGGATGACATTACAATGTTTCTTGATATCACAAAATCTGATATGATTTTGATTCAATTCATGAGTCTGTCGTCAGTGTCCATCCAACACAATCATTGCGTTAGATCAGGCACACAAAGACAATGTGGACTGATGTTTTTGTTTTGCCTTGATGTAATTGAATCATTAATAATTTAATTGCTATATCAATGTGGATCCTTGTGTTGTTACGCTGCAAGTCTTGGTTGTCCAGAGGTCCAGGCTGGTCCACAGAGGTTATTGAGCCTTTTTATCTCCTAAACTGTGGAGCCAACTGCCTCTTCACATCAGACAAGCTTTAACTTTTGGTCTTTTTGTCATACTGTAAAACAGATTTGCTTTCAGTGTATTTTCATACAGCATAAGAGTTGATTTTTTTTAAAAATTTTGCATAATTTTAATGATTTTATTTTATGTCTTACCATATTTTAGCTGTCTTTTGTTTGTTTGACCTTTTGTGTTTGGCTTTTATTGTTTTATTTGCAGCACTTTGGTCATCACCAATCGTTTTTTAAATGTGCCGTATAGAAAAGAAAAATACTTGATTTAAAGGAGTGCCACATCAACAGTATTTACTTCTGAATTTTTACCAATATATCTTTGGGAAGTATTAAGTTCAATTCACTTTTCCTACAGGCACCTGATAAATTGTATGAGGCTCTTTTAAAAAAGTCATGTATTGATTTGAAATTGGTTGAGTGCAGAAAACAGGTTCTTATTAATATATTGTAAGAGTTTTATTATCTCAATGACAAGATAGTGATTCATTGTCCCCAAGCAGCACTGATCACTGGGTTTCTGTCCTCTGACGCATCGATTGTCTATATGTGTTTAAACTATTGGCAATACTGACCAGAAAAGGAGAGAATAACAGAGTTTGAATGGCTCTCCAAGGATCAGCATTGTTTCTGTAGAAATTGTAAAAACTGAACTTGTYTGCAATGAAGATATATTTAGATTTTACTTTTTCAGCATGATGCAAGTGACATTGCCAAGAGTCCCATAAAGTTTTTCCGAAACACTGTTGTTATCATCAGACCCGGTCGAGTGAGCTGAGATGGACGTCTGAGTCTGAAGTTGTGAGGCTCGAGCAGAAGGTGTTGCAGCTGGAAGCAGAGCAAGAAACTGTTCTTTCTTCTTTGGGCGAAGAACTGGACACAGCCTGCCGCAGCCTGGCTAGGAACGGAGAAGACAAACTACAGGTATTTATTTTCTTACTGGTATTTCATTTTCGACAACACTGTTTGCCTTTTCTTGTGTTCTAATGAAACGTTTAATTTTATTGTTGCTTTCTTTCTAACCAGTAAAGGTTTAAAACAACCGCAGTCACAGTGTGTACTTACACAATAACTTTCCTAAAAGAGGCGACACATATACTGGTCCATTGTTAATTCTCTGTTTGTCTCTGACATTTAAGTCTTAAGGAAAATATTTGGGTCTTTGGTGGATGTTAAGTAAGGTGCCTATTAGGAATGGGTGGTTTATCCATCTTTTCCTCTATTCGGAACCAGATAGTGGGGGCAACAGCTGAAATGGAGATCCCCACACCTTAAAACAAAAAAACAAAACAAAAAAAACAAAACAAAAAAAAAAGGTACTTGATGTTTTCTAGGTCAGTGCGTTTCAAATGATTTTGTGTTTTGTCATAAATATCCACAAATTTCATTCTTCAAAATTTTTATAGGAATAACTAGGTTTTGAATGCTAAGCTTGCTTGCATTTAGAACCATACTGTTCTGGCAGAATGACTGTGCTGAATATAATTCAATGCATGCTCAAATATGAAGAATAAATAGTATTAAATAATTACATAAGCTGAAACCATCTAATCTTTTTGAACAAAGCAGTCATTTAAAAAAAATCAATCAGTCTAACAATTGTAGTTTTTTAAGTTTGTGTTGTGCAAAAGGCAGATGTTTGCTGCTTGGATTTTGATGCTAGGGAAGGTGTTGAAAGCTGATTTTGCCAAGGCCAAAGATCCAGAAGCTACAGAAACTACAGTAGTTGGCCATCTAAGGGGCACGTTTAACCATAGGTTCAATTTGAAATGGTTTTCAGCCCTTAAACGTTTGCATTTATAATTTAGATTTCTTTCATTTCCTTTATCTTGAGATGTTTAAGTTAAATTTCAGGTTTAAGTTACGTCTTGTTCAATTTTGGTTCAAATAAAGAACTTTATGTTTACTAGATTGTTAACTAATTATTTGAGTTAATATTACCTTAATGGACAGTGATTAAAAAAGAAAAAAAGAATGTTCTTCCAGACCTCTGTCCATGTCTATTATATAACTATAACTTGAATGTGTTTCAATAAACGGGTAAAAAAACAAACTTGTATCAGTGTCCAAATAGATTTTTTTTCTTCAAAGTTTTTTTTAATTATTTTTTAACAAACAAAAAAAACAACAAACTAACAGAAAAACACGCCCCTAAAAACCCTCCCATCCCCCCCCACCTATACCGGATCTGCTAACAAAACACAAATATAAATACATCATGTATCTGTAAATACAAAACACAGGTTTGTGTACAAAGAACCATTATTTGACCATTAGACAAAGTTATCTGCTGAAGTTTTTTTCTACGTAAGAAAAAAATGGCTGCCAGATGTCAAAGAATTTGTTTACAGATCCTCTAACAGTATATCTAATCTTCTCTAAATGAATGTAAGACATAACTTCTCTTAACCAATGACCATATCCTGGGGGATGTGGATCYTTCCATCGAAGAAGAATAAGTCTTCTAGCCAGTAGAGAGCAGAAAGCTAACACCGTCCTCTGATGTTCACTGAGGGAAGCTTCTGCTGGAGCCACCCCAAAGAGAGAGATGAATGGTGATGGATGAACAGTTCGTCCAAATAGTCCTGAAAAGGTATCAAAGATGCCTTGCCAATATCCTTGTAACTTTGGACAGGACCAGAATGTGTGCAGAAGTGTGGCAGGAGATTGTCCGCAGCGATCACATGTCGGATCCAAATGCTGTGTCCAAATAGATATTGACGTAACTGTACATTTTCAGAACAGCAGAGGGGAAGTGTTTTTGCAATACCTTTTTATTCTTGTGTTGACTGTTGTGACCAGAATTTGTGCTTTTTAGTCTCTTTAGTTTCCACCCAAAACAGTCTCCTGGAGTTACTCTGCCAGATGTGAGCTTGGTTTGCAGAACGAAGCTCTCAAGCTTCCTATCAGTTGTGCTGTTGTACAGAATTCATTTTAATGAACTCTTTGTAGTCCTGGATGTTCATCCATCATTTGTGACATGAACTGGGAAGTCTTGAATGAGTTGTGTGCAGCTATAATGTGTTCTTACTCATAAAAGTTTTATGAAAGGTTTCAATTGTGCTCAAATGTGATATATACCAAGGAGGTACTTTATCCCCACTGCTGTTCTGCATAGACCTGAATGCCTTCAGCCAAATAATCAACAAAACTGACTTTGGATACCAACTCAGAAACGGGGCCACTATCAATCACCTCCCCTACATGAATGACATCAAGCTGTARGCTAAGTTGAGCGAGACGTTGACTCATTGATCCACATCACCTGGACCTACAGCAGGGACATCAGAATGTCATTCAGGCTGGAAAAATGTGACCAAACGGTAACAAAGAGAGGGAAGGTAATCCACACGGAGGGAATTGCATTCCCTAAGGGGAGAATAGCAGATGTTGAGGAGAGCTACATGTWCCTTGGAATACCACAGGCAAATGAAAACCACAAAGAGGCCACAAGGAAAGCAGTAACAGACAAATACCTGCAATGGGCAAGACAAGTTTTTAGAAGTCAGCTCAATAGCAAAAACAAGGTCTTGCTGATAATCAGATACCCTGCTGGGATAATAAGTTGGCCAAAGGAGGTAATTCAGATCACTGATGTTAAAACACAAAAGTTACCATGCATGGTGGATTCCACCCAAAACCTAGTATCCACAAGCAATACACTAAGCACATAAAATGAGGCAGAGGTCGATAGAGCATCAGAGCCACCATCCAAGTTTAAATATCCAAGCTCCAAGAAGGTATCAGGAAGATTACCCTGGGAGAAAAGTGCTCAGTGAATGTCTCAGACAATGGAAACTGGAAGTGAATGAGTGAGGTGTAGTGGTCACCTAGGGGTGGAAGAAACCGTTCCACCTGTCTTTAACCCCTTTGATACCCCTACAGAGGTAAAACCCTTGCATGGGATGTACCACCAACAGATGGCTGAAGTGGCTGATGGGACCAAATCCTGCCGATGGCTGGAGAAGGCAGGACTGGATTGGATGGGAATATGATTTAGATGATTAGATTTTATTGTCATTGTACAGAGCACAATGAAATTACAGTTCAGAACACCCATTTAGAAGAAGACAGAACATAACAAACATCAGCTTATATACAGTATATGTGATGAACAAATTTATCTGAATAAAGGAAAATTCAAATTATTCTTTCCAACCTCACCAATCCTCCAAAAAACCTGCAACACTGAAGACAATGGTGTGTTATTTCTACATTGTAACATTACTAGAAGTATTGTATGGTGAATTATTAATGAAACTACTAGGAATGTGTATGTACTGGGGGAGAAAGGGAGGCATTTTTCATTGAATGGTGTCAGAGTAGCTCCCCACTTCAGTCCTGATTTTTGTTGTTGACCTACTATCCTCAGTCTTATGTCAGGCATGCCACAATATGGCTGCAGTATGGCAGTCAGACATGTCTGTAGTATGGAGGTGTTTTAAAAAGCAAGAAGAGAGCAATTCAGTAACTAGCCACTGTACCAGATCAACCATATGCTTCTCCTGCTTTTCAATAATCTCCTTTTTTACTCCAGCAGTGATGGAGTTCTTCAGCTTCTTGCAGGGATCGTCACCTTCTCTGCTGACATTAGCATGCATGTCACAGCTACACTGTTCTGACAAAACAATGTGGGTTTGTAGAGAAGCCATACAGTGGGGTGGTTCACGAGCAAGAGGCACATTTGTGTGCAGAGGAAATTTTATACTTTGGAGGTGCAGATACCATTACTGTCATAAAAAATATATGTTCAGACAAAGTTGTGTATTACACACAAACAAATCGACCTGTACCAAAAATCTTCAGTACAAATACTAGTATAACCTTTGTCTAAATAAAAGATAAAAAAAAATAAAATTCTGGAAGATAACTGAACTGATCCCACTGAGCACCTTTAAGTCCAGATTGAGGGCATTAGAGATGACTTCATTGAATTGTGAATGTTTTTAATAGTGATTGTTTGTAAAGTGTTTTAATTGTGTAACTCTGTGTAAATGTATACTTTCTGCTGCCTCTTGGCCAGGACTCCCTTGTAAAAGAGGTTTTTAATCTCAATGGGACTTTCCTGGTTAAATAAATAAATAAATAAATCTATAGGATAAGTTATAGAATCACAATCCATCATTCATTTAAACTTCTGACATGATTGAGCTACAACTCAAAATAATCTCTAATCCGTGTTTTATTTGCTCTTTTCTGTTCTGCTCGTTTCATTAGAGAAGAACCCATCCAGAAGACCTATACAATTTTTTTTCTTTTTGATTTTTTACCTGGATTACTGAGATGCATCAGGACTTTTCTGTTTATTTTCCCCAAAAAACGTTTTCCCAGTTTTCAGCCTATTTAATTTTTAAAACACTGGCTGCATAATCTGAATTGACTGCTTCATGATTTATGTAAAATAAACCATAAGACCAAATGAAATTCAGCCTTTTTTTTTACCAGAGGAAAAATGGGGTGGTGGGTGTTGCAGTTTATTTTTGCAGACAGATTCTGGACAGACCTTCTTTTTATTCTTCTTATCTTGTACCATCTTTCACTATTCACTGAATAATAAAGAGACACACAAAGAGAAAATCTCTCTTTAAAAATGTTCCACTTTGTCATCTACACTTGCTGTTAGTCTCAACAGTTCCCCCATCTGTTTCTCTCTGAATGTTTCCATCTTTTCCAATTTCCCAGTAGGAGGTGAAGCAAACATATGGCTTCCAAGAAAAAAAAGCCACCACAGTTATCCTCACACTCTGAAAGAGACACAAACCAGGCAGTCTGATGTTTAATTTAGCAGTTGCAAAGACTCTGGTGCAACAGCAGTTCTGCCCCCTTTTTTTTTAAATCGTCAATTCTTTCATTTAAAGCCCACAGACAACACTTTCAACTCCCTGCCTACTTGTTACGTTCTCCAGCAGTTTCACCTCCCTTTTGTCCGCCGCTGCACCAAACAAGCTTTGATGGTTGGAGAAAAAGTTAAGAGAACCCGAGCGAGAGGCTGAGACATGTTTGATCTTCCTTTGCAGTCACACGCTCTCATTGGGCCGTACACTCTCTGAAACGGGGACTACTGCACCATATTGTCGCACTTTAAGCTGCCAAAGCAGCAACTTGAAATTTTTTAGTTTGGATTTGAGTGACAAGCAGAAAAAAGTYTGTCTCTTTACACCAGTGCAGCAATGGTGTTTGCATAGACTCAAAACAGCAAGGGTTCAGAAAAGTTGACAGCTTTTCACAAATATCCCGTAACTATTTTTGGAAAAACACTAGACTTTTTGTTTATTATTTTTATATACTTTTAATCTTATTTTTGCTGTGTARGAGTCTTTATTGTGTTTGTCTTGCCTTTATTTTTAAAGAAAACGTTTTTTGGGGCAAATTTTGCTTTGTTAACACATTTACAGGAAGAGGCAACGAAGGTCACTACTCTGTATTACATACGACTGGAGAAAACTCTGCAGAAGACTTTGACACCATTAAAAGTCAAGCGAATAATGGGGGAGGGGTCCACATAACAATTTTTGGGTTTTGAAACACACATTTTCACATCATGGTAAACTTACCAAAGGACATTCTGTAACTGATCAACTGAATGTTAGATCCAGTTTTGTATTTTGTACTTTCTGATCTTTGCAGCCTTAAGGCTAAAACAGAYAATGGGTTGGTGTGTYTGTTATCCTGTGTTCTGTCTGTAGCCTAAACAAAAATGAGTTACGTTCTGACATCTGACGTAAAAGTAACACCTCCAGGGGTGTAACCAGGAAGAGCCTGACGAGGTTATAAGGTTGAGTCATTACGATATGGGTAGAAGTATTTTTGGAAATTTAGTTTTGCAGTCTCTTTGTTTAGATCCAGCCTGGACAGACTGGGCTGCTTTGTTTGGGCTTTCCTGATACGAGCTCAAGGCCTTAGCTGAGGCCTGTGCTGAATGCTGTGCTGATTGGAGTCAAATGAGAATAAAGTTTTTCTAAAGAAATCCAAGTGGATTCCTGCTTCTATTCAGACATGCCATTTTTGAATGACACTTTTTTTACACTACCATGGTAATGGTCATGGTTATGGGGAGTGGGGATGGATAAAGAATCCATATGAGCAGAGGCTTCTACACTAACATGACAAACTGATCTATGCCCAATTTCCACTTTTTTTGAAAAATTTTCCAACATTCTCATAAGTACTTGTCAACTTCTGAATCATCTTGTTGTTTAGTTTGATTGGTAATATTTTGTTAACTGGTTCAGACTCCCAACAACCTCCGGTTACGTGCTTTTATTAACTTCGATCACATTTGTTTCRAGACCCCATTTAGAAGTAAACATGTAGTGTGGATGAATACAGAGCAATAGGTTTGAATAAAAGTGGAGAATATTGGACAACCTGGAAGCAAAGGATATTATAAGTTCACCACGGTTTCCATGAGGTCACCTAAGATTACTGTAAATTATTCAGCAGATAACAGATCTCACAAAATGTTCTCTTCTGCACTTACGGCACGGAATAATGAACTGAAAAAAGRGTCTCTGCTGAATGTCTTTTTTTRCCCCACAAGTTGTTTGGCTGTATAATTGTTATGCAAATTGTAGACAAACTTTGAAAAAGGGAAATGCAAATTGGAGCACATTTGCATTAATGGTTGGAGAGTGAATAAACTGGTCTGCGTGAGGAAGATGGTACATTTGTGTTTACATTAGAAATTATTACATTTGTGCAACTGAATTTCTTTGGCCTTTTTTTCCACTCTTACTCATGTTTTCTTGTTATTAAACAGGCTGCAGCCAGGTCCGGTACCTCTAATAGTCGACTGTGCTTTGTATTTGTAATRTACATCAGTCCACTTATGTAAGGAGCTTCTCCACGGTTGAAACACTGGGAAAAGGCAGGTTGAGCTTTTCTCTTCCATAGAAAGTAGCTCATATTATTTCAAGATTTTTTACCCAGTGATTTTTTTTGTTTGTTTTCAATAAAGAAAATTGCTTTAAATGACTGAAAAGTAGATAAATCTAGTGACAAAAACACTAAGTTGATAACAGTTTAGCCCAAAAAGTTTTCTTGCACATCATCATGTATTGATTTTGGTCTGAATCAATGTGCTGCCTGCAACTACACAGCAATAGACATTTTATATTTTAGCTGGTTAGAAATGGGAATGTGTTGCCAAATATCTTTGGCTCCTGAAATGTCTGAGCTGCCCAGCCAGATATTTTCAACAAATAAAAGCAAAACATGTATGAGCCAATAAAGTGAAGCCATAACTGGAGAAGTAAAATCTATATTTTTCTTCTTTTTAGTCTATAAAAAATCTTGACACATTATGAATCAAAAGCTTTTTTTTTCCCTCTGTGACTTTGATGTCCACTAAGTATGAGCAGTTWAAAAGAATAAAAAAACAACTTTGTTTTCCCCACTGCTGAGCTGTATACATCTAATTGCTACTTACCTGGAATGTTTCTGCATCTGTTGGTAAAAGTAATGATGCAGTCCACAATAAATAATTTTTTAGGCTTGTTAAATTAAACACTGTTRATAAACATCCACTGCTACATTACATGTTTGATAAATGGGATAAGTTATATTTTCTCTGACAGTTAATACCATCAAGGCTAACAGTTGTTGAGTCTTTATTTTTTTGTTTGTTTTTTTACATCAAAGGCAGACCTCTGTAGAATAAACTCAAAAAAAAAATTCAAAGTTCATGCACCCAACTCACCCACACACCATACACACATTCACACACTGATGGTGGTAAGCTACTTTGTAGCCACAGCTGCCCTGGAGCACACTGATAGAGGCYGGGCTGCTATACGTTGGTGCCAATGGACCCTCTGACCACCACCAGCAGACAAGGTGGACATAACTGAAACTAAAGGGAGATTGAACCGGCAACCCACCGGTTACAGAACAACTCCATTAACCTCGTCGCAGCACCCCTTTTTTATTGAATGCTTTGACATGTTTTTTGTCACTGCAACAAAGCAAAATTTGGTCAGTTGTGTAGACATTCATGAAAAAAAAATTCTCTACTAAAAATATTGAATTTCATCCACACACCTACAAAACTATATGTACAGCGGGTAAAATAAGTATTGAACACATCACAATTTTTCTCAGTAAATACTGTATATTACTAG